AAGACCCCAGACACTACTCACCAAGGTAGAATGTAGAGTATTGTCTTTATAAGCTGTGTCATGCCAATTGAGCTAGATGTTCCCCGAGACCATGGTCCCCACAGCCCTCCGCCCAGCAACTCAGTCCCTCAGGCAGTTTGGATGTGTCTATGGAGCTTCCATGACCTTTCCTTGTACAAGTTGTGCTGGTTTGCCAGTACTGTGTACTGTCTTACCCTTCCCCAAAGTTACCACTTATCTATTGTCTGTTTAGTTTCCCCCCACCCCTCTCATCCCTCATAACCAACCAAGATTGTTTCTTTTGTGTGTAAACTTTTTCATGAGTTTTTACAGTAGAGGTCTCAGATAATATTTGTCCTTTTGTGATTGACTTATTTCACTCAGAATAATGTCCTCCAGTTTGAGCCATGTTATGAGATGCTTCACAGAGTCATCGTTCTTTATAGTTGCATATATGGTGTTTTTTTCAAAGGGATTATAAATAATATTACTTACCTACTTTTTTCTTCTTAGCAAATTATCACCATCTACTATATTTTATGAATGGAGCCCTGGTGGCGTAGGGGTTGAGCGCTCTGCTGCTAACTGGAAGGTAGGCTGTTAGAACCTACTAGCAGCTCTGTGGGAAAGAGATGTAGCAGTCTGCTTCTGTAAAGATTTATAGCCTCGGAAATCTTATGGGGGAGTTCTACTCTGTCCTATAGGGTTCTATGAGTGGAAATAGACTCGATGACACATATCAAAAACAAAACTATGCTATATGCTGGATCTATTTGTTTTGTTTATTGTCTGTAGAACATAAACTCCATGAGGTTAGGGATTTTTGTCTGTTTCAGTCACTGCACAGCATCAAGTCCTGGAATAGTTCTAACATATATTTGTTGAATTAGTACATAAATCAATTAACCTCTCTGTCTCTATAAACCAAAACCATATCTGTTGCTGTTCAGTCGATTCCAACTCATAATGACCCTATAGGACATAGTAGAACTGCCCCATAGGGTTTCCAAGGAGTAGCTGGTGGATTCAAACTGCTGGTTTTGGGTTAGCCGGCTACCTCTTAACCACTGCCCCACCAGGACTCCTGTCTATCTATAGGTAACAAAATTAAAAGGAGGTCAGATTTTTTCGCTATACTCTCATACCTCCCCGAATAACAAATGGATGAGAATGTATTCTCGGCAAATACAAAATAACATGGATTTCTTGACATACGTGTGAGAGACAGCCTGACATTCCACAAGAAATGATATGTGAAAAGCATTTTTGATAGCTTATTTCTCAAAGGTTGAGCCACCCTTCTCCTTGCTGTTAATTCCTGTTCTTTTCTTTGAGAAAAAGTCTATGTTAAATAGTTCACCATAGATCATGACAGATAAATTCTATCTGCCTGAAATTCAACTATTCTTTTTCCTCAAAAATTATATTATTTCCCCTTTTAGTTATAAACCTTCAGCCTGGCATCAGCCTAGAACACTAAGATTCAGGAAATGCCTGCGTGCCTCCATTTCATCTCTTTGTATTGGAGTTGAGATTTTAGGGAATTCTCCTATTTTGCCCGATGGGAAAGAAAAAATAATTTATTTAGCTGACATCTCCTCTTTGAGTTTGGGCTCATAGAAAGAGCAAGTAGACGATGCGGCAAGTTAGAATAATAGGACACTCAATGATTATCAATGTCACTGAGCCAACTTCCATCTCTGCTCATTTTGTACTTTAGCTCTGAGGAAAGTATGAACCAATCTTGCTGATCAATTGTAACCATTACATAGGATTGGAATGGTCTGCACATTTGAGTTCTGTTGAATCTCTGTCTGCACATAGCAAAAATCCTGATCTTCTATTCCAGTTTACATTTGCTTTTTTTTTTTTTTTAAACATGAAAAATAATTTTTTTTTAAACTCTAGGACAAATCCTTTCAGTATTTCTACCTTTAAAAAGTGTTTTGATAAATTTACTCTTAGGCAGAAGAGTGACTCTGGGGCTTTACTTCTGGCTTGTTTCCAGGTTTCATGAAGAAGAGACAAGGCTACTTTAAACAATAGAGAAAGAGTACACGAGTGGATTGAAGCATATTTTGCTTGATCAGAAAGACGAGAAAGTCTGTTAAAAGCTGTCCAAGAAATAAATGTGAAAGAGGAGACGCATTTAGTAGAAACTTTTTTTCTGAAATCTTGTTTGTTTTGAAAATGAGATCATTCCGAAAATTATGTGTTTGTGAAGGGATGGATTTTGCGTCAAGGAGTTATCAACAGTCCAGCAGAAACAGAGAAGGCATTTAATATTGGGATAACACTGTTATTTATATTTTACACTCATTTTTTATATACTTTCAGATTCTTTTCTGAGTCAGTAAATAGAGGTGAGGAAATTGAGAGAGGTTAAATTACTTACTGCAAAGATAAGACAAGAACTCAAAGTCTCTTGAGTCCTAATTCAGCATTTTCTACTTTCAAATGTTGTCATTTTTACTGAGCTTGATAAGGTTTTTAGATCAGCACAAACCGTTAAAGACGTAAGCAAAAACATTAAAAACGCCATGTGTTACATTTGAGAGTTTCTCATCACGACTCCAAAACACTCGATGTAAGAATCTCCTTACCAGAATGTTCTGGCTGGCAATCTTCGGAAGAGTAGCGTTCATACCAGTGCAGTACTGCTTACTTTCTTCCCATGTCAAGTTGTGCTTGAAGAATCCATAGCAACTATCCCCATAGTATCTCCAGTTGGTGTCACAGGGGCTGCATTTATGGGCTTAAGGAGAGACAAAGCATAGGAACTTTTCATTCTCAATCAGGCTTACAGTTTCCCCACATTCAGTGTTTCCTGCAAATCTCAAGATTCCCTACAAATACTGCCACAAAAAATATTCTGGAGTTAGAGGAGATCCAGAGGTTACCAAACTGTATTTATTGAAATTACCTTCTTCTTTAGATTTTTTTATTAAATCTTGGCAGAAGCGCTTTGCTAATTGTTGCACAGTTCCTGAAAGATTTTCATTCTCAGCTTGTAGGAGATTTTGCTGCATGACAGCTAAATGTAAAAATCAGATAATAACGATTTATAATCAGGATCTTAAGTGTGATGGAAAGACTTTTCAATAAACTTTCGTTTTAGTAGAATTGTCACTCTATGAGGTGTTTACTAGATTCACACGAGTAAATGATTCCTGCAAAGGGATAAGGGCAAAGGGGGATATAAAAAACATACTAAGTAATATACAAAACTGACACTTGAGAGTTATCGAATAGAATGAGGGAATGCTTTAAGGATGACAATCACAAATAAGAAAATCCCATGATTAAATAACACACCTAGAGCAATTGTTTTGACATTTTATTGAATGTAGGTTTCTAAATAGTGTTAATAGAAGTGAACGCCTCTGCTATTTTCTGCTCTTAATGTCTTACCAGAATATTCATTCATTTAAAAAATACAGTTTGATTTCATGCTATGCTCAAAGTACTATGAGATTCAGGTAAATGAAAGATCCTTAAATCTCTTACACAAAAATAAACAAGTATCCAAACAATCAAAAACTACACAAAGTATAATGTGACGTTGGAGGGCTATTAGGTTTACAGGAAGAAAACACAATATGTATCACTTAGGTGGGATATGAATTGTCTCTTGGAGGAAGTAAGTAAATTCAGTAAACAAAATAGGAAGGAGGATATTTTAGAAAGAAGGAATAGGATGGGCAAAATTCCAAGCAGGTGGATAAAGTATTTATGAAATTGAGAAGACTCTGTCTTGGCTGGATCTTAGGATATGCAAGGACAGGAGGAAGGTTTCAAAATATAATTTGGATTCATGCTGAAGAGAATCTTAAAGGCTAGATTAAAATTCTTGAAAATAATTTTAAAATAATTAATAAATAAACAGCTTAAAAAGTGATTTTGCTCAGGAGGTAAAGGCCCGAGAAAATCTTGGCAACTATGTATATAAGATGATTGGAGTAGTAACAAATAGAAGGACAATTAAGAAACTTAGTGTGATACACCAAAACCCTTAGGTATTGCCTTCCTCAGACCAAACCCTTGTCAATGAGTCAATACTTACTCATAATCCCTAGAGCCACCAGCCCAACAACCATCCCCATGCACAAGATCAGAAGAACCAAAGCCATCACACGCCACAAGGAAGAGGATGCAGGGTCAACTGTGGGTATACAATAAATATGTCATGGAGCAGTAACATGGCATGGCTATGGGACAGTATCACCTCTGCCCCTGCCTCTCACGATTTTCCAAGTAATAAAAGCAGCTTCATTGGCAGCTCTTGCCTGTGTTCCTTGTCAATCATCAACAATAAGCACAACCCACTGCCATACCACACGTCCATCCCCATCACCAATGGACTTCCGCTCTCTGAGCCGAAATATAACCAGTTGTTAAGGCATTATTGTTTGTTTTGTTTTGTGTCCACTCCCCTTCCACCCTTAAATATTGCTTTAATAAGCAACTACTTGAGAATTACACCCACTTACTGGGATCTTGGAAAATGATGGTTTCCAAATATTCCTTCCCCTGTCACTCCATACCCTTGACTTCAATGCTTTTCAGCATTAAACTCTACAAGCCTTAATGTAATCTTCCTTGCTTGTCTCCTACATTGTTTTTCTTCTAAATAAGTCTGTCTGGTCTATGTAAATACTACTAAAGACTGTAGGGAAAGAATATCATTCAGAAAAACAAAACAGAACCAAAAAACAAAAACAAAACAGTATATGCTATCTCTAGTAGAAAAAGGGAAAATAGAGTTGACTTATTTTGCTAAGTAATTTCCAGATTGCTGGCTCTGTGCAGTCTTACCTGAAGTGAAAGCTGGTCTTCGAGTTTTAATATTTAAGGCTACATATCCGTCTTCATCCTGCATGACTTCACTTGGAATGCAAGTGAGCTCAGGGGTCCAGTGACTTGCCAAAATGTAGTATCCACTCTTACAATTCCAATATCTGTCAGTCTGTGGTCCTCCTCAGCTGGGAGGGTGGAGCCGTATGAGTTAGGACATATGTTTTGTTTCTTCTTTTTCCAGGAAGCCCTTTCATAGCTGTTCAGAGATACATGGACCTTGAACATAAAATAAACACATAAAAACCAAAAATAACAAATTGTGGTAAAGAAGTAGATATGGCATTTGTTTCCTGTTTCCTCATCTTCAGCTCAAAATAAACAGATATTCCAGCATGTGTACCCTTTCAAAGAACCAAAATTTTTTATGAAGTTCTTACTTCATCTTGACCCTGTTGTTGTTGTTAGATGCCGTTTAGTCAATTCTGACACCTGTGTACAACAGAACTAAACACTGCCTGATCCTGCCCCATTCTCACGATCGTTGCTATGTTAGAACCCATTGTTGTAGCTGCTGTGTCAATCCATCTCATAGAGTGTCTTCCTCTTTTCTGATGACCCTCTACTTTACCAAGTATAATCTCCTTCTCCATTGACTATTCCCTCCTGATAACATGTCCAAAATACCTGAGGTGAAGTCTCGCCATCCTTGCTTCCCTACTAGAGTCTAAATCATATTGTTTAAATAAAGTGATTTCTGTGGAAATTCATGGATAAAGCACCAGCAGATACATAGTCTGTCCCATTGTAAAGAACAGGTCTAATATAATTTGATCTAATGCTGCCTAAATTCGAGATTTCATGGTCTTATATTGGAAGAAACTACTCATAATTGTGTCCTAAAATTCATCCAAATTCTTGTATCTCTAATAAATCAAATATTCAGAAAATCTAGGAGTCCACACGGGGCAGGCTTTATATGGAGTTCGGTTTAGGCACTGAAGGAAAATAGTCAAATAAAATGACATTAGCCAGAGTTAAGGACTGGATGTACATAAAAAAAAAAATCAAACCCATTGCTGTTGACCTTATAGAACGGAGTAGAACTGCCCGGTAGGGTTTCCAAGGAGTGGCTGGTACATTCAAACTGACAACCTTTTGGTTAGCAGGCTGAGCTTTTAACCACTGCGACACTAGAGCTCTGACTTGATGTATAGCCTTTCGGTAATATTTTCACTTTAAAGTGAAGTTCTTAGAATGGAAAAATCGTAACTGAATGAAATCATGTAATTTCAAGTATAGCGTGCCCGGATGAAGAATTTCTGGGGGAAGGAGTTGTTTTCAGTTCCCTTCACATCACGATATAATAGTGCATTCCATGTATTTAACTCTATTAATTAGGCTTTTAAATTATTATCTCAGCTTATGTTGAAAGTAGTTATAAGAAACAAGCACACAAAGCTAGCTACTGTGTTTATCACAGGCATGTTGTTGAAGCCATTGTCTATGTTGTCATGACGGTATCTTCCACATAGTTATACAGCAGTTATTTTTTATTAAACTCCCACGGTCAGAAAAGCTTTCCTTCTTTTGAGCAACTAGTAGACATTTATCTCATAAATAATCTTATTTCTATTTGTTCTTTGATTAGCAGAAATCTTACACCTTACTTTCCTTGTCAATATAATAATTACATAGAATTTCATGGCAGACATTTTGTTTATTAACTGTCCCTTTTGTACATTCCCCCTCCCCAGTTAGAACCGTCACTCTGAATTCTTTGTTAATTCACTTAAAGTAATTTTATCTTTTAATATTTCTTTACCTATATGCCTTGTTATAGATTCATTTATGTCCCTCAAAAAGACGTGCAAGTGCTAACTCCTGGTGCTTGTGAAGTGACCTTGTTTGGAAATAGAATCTTGGAATATGTTATCAGTGAAGTTCATATGAGGTCATACCAGAGTAGGATGAGTCCAAACCCCATCTGAACAGTGTCCTATAAAGGAGAAGAAAAGACACAGAGACGCGAACAAAGGAAAGATGATCATATGACACTGGACCGATGCTTCAGTTACTAACCGAGGAATGCCTGGGGCTACCAGAAGCTGAAGGAGCCCTGGTGATGCAATGCTTAAGCACTTGGATGTAATCAAGAGATTGGAGGTTCAAATCCACTAGCTGCTCCTCAGGAGAAAAGACCTGATGATCTGCTCCCATGAAGATTAGAGCTTAGGAGACCCTATGGGACAATTCTGTTCTGTCCCACAGGGTCACTATGAGTCAGAATCAACTCAATGGCACACGACCACAACAACAACCAGAAGCTGAGGGAGACAAGAGAGGCTTTTCCCTCAGAGCCTTTGGAGAGAACATGGCCTTGCAGAGACCCCAAATTCAGACTACTAGTCCCCAAAACTGTAAGGTCATAAATTTCTCTTCCTATAAAACACTCATTTTGCAGTATTTTGTTACAGTAGCCCTAGGGAACACTAATGTTGTTGCTATTAGGTGCTGTCAAGTTGGTTCTGACTCATAGCGACCTTATGCGCAATAAAATGAAACGCTGCCTAGTCCTGCCTCATCCTCACAGTCGTTGCTATGTTTGAACCCATTGTTGCAGCCACTGGGTCAATCCATCTCGTTGAGGGTCTTCCTCTTTTTCTCTGACTGTCTTCCAGGGATTGATCCCTCCTAACAATATGTCCAAAGTACTTGAGACGAAATCTCGCCACTGTCACTTCCAAGGAGCATTCTGGCTGTGCTTCTTCTAAGACAGACTTGTTCATTCTTCTGGCAGTCCATGGTGTATTCAACATTCTTCCCCAACACCGTAATTCAAAGGCATCAATTCTTCTTCGGTCTTCCTTATTCATTGTCCAGCTTTCACATGCATACGAGGTGATTGAAAACACCATGCCTTGGGTCAGGTACACCTTAGTCCTCAAAATGACATCTTTGCTTTTCAACACTTTAAAGATGTCTTTCGCAACGGATTTTCCCAATGCAATATGTAGTTTGATTTCTTGACTGCTGTTTCCATGGTCATTGATTGTGGATCCAAGTAAAATGAAATCCTCGACAACTTCAAAATTTTCTCCTTTTATCATGATGCTGCTTATTGGTCCAGTTGTGAGGATTTTTGTTTTCTTTATGTTGAGTTATAATCTATACTGAAGGCCGTAGTCTTTGATCTTCCTCAGTAAGTGCTTCAAGTCCTCTTCACTTTCAGCAAGTAAGGTTGTCATCTGCATATCGCAGGTTGTTAATGAATCTTCCTTCAGTCCTGATGCCCCTTTCTTCTTCATATAGTCCAGCTTCTCATATTATTTGCTCAGTACACAGATTGAATGAGTATGGTGAAAAGATACAACCTTGATGCACACCTTTCCTGTCTTTAAACCATGCAGAATCCCCTTGTTCTGTTCAAATGACTGCCTTTTGGACTATGTACAGGAGCACAATTAAGTGTTCTGGAATTCCCATTCTTTGCAATGTTATCTATAATTTGTTATGATCCACACAGTTAAATGCCTTTGTGTAGTCAATAAAACACAGGTAAACACAGAAACACACCTCAGGTTATTTTGAAGATGAGGTGAAGAATAAATAAATAAAGCAAGCATGAACCGCATCACCTGCTTTTGAAAACCCAAACTTAGCATGATTAAAATATTCAAAATAAATAAATAAATAAAAATCTCACTTATTCCAAATAAATATCAAATTTAATAAGGTACTAAAAATTGTGTAATCAGATTTCTTAAGTCCCCAAACCTGTTTCTGTCACAGGCTTTCTTATCTCAGTTAAAATATTTAGTGGTTCCCAGTCATGAGCGGAGTAAACTCAGACCATTATTACATTGTGTATTTACCTCTGCTTCCGTACATGTGATCTATTCCAGCCAAAGTGGAGTCTTCACTCTTCCTGAGATGGATGATAATCCCCATCGTCCAGTGACTTTATCTCATAGCTTGCAAGGTAAGCTGTCTTTCGTCACCCATAGCTACTCACTCACCAAGTCTCGAGGTTTTTCTCACTCTAACCCTCTTCCATGTTTCTTTCATCACTGCCTTACTTTAGTGGAATTTTTACTAAAATATACAGAAACACTGAAAAATAATTGTAACTAAGTAACTGACAGAAAAGAAAATGGGTGTGGAGGGTATTTTAATTATGCTCCAAGTACTTGTTCAATAAAGCTTTACTCTGTTTTCTAGTGACCAAAAAGGTAGCTTCTGAAAATTTAATCGGTTAAATTGAATCTAATAAGTAAATGTGATATCCATGGACATTTGGAAGCCTCTATAATTATTCTGGAGCCCTGGTGGCACAGTGGTTAAGAGCTCAGCTGCTAACCAAAAGGTCATCAGTTTGAATCCACCAGCTGTTCCTTGGAAACCCTATGGTGCAGAATTGTTTAAGTAACAGAATTTTTAAGGAGGCATTAAACATAACAATTAGCTTGCATGGTTGAAGTTTACACTTTCTGTAGGCCTTGGAAAATTGATTAAATTATTTTTTTAAAACGTCCCATTTATTCTTCTTGTAAACTACTAGGAATATGCTGGGTTTACTCCTTGATTCACTAATGCTTCTGACGGTACGTTTAATGCCAGAAGTAGGTAAAGCTGAAATGGGCAACACCAAGTCTCAGACAATACTCCTTTCCTATATCTCAGCCTCTGGATTGTCCTTTGGTTCTTTCACTATCTGACCCACATAGAGTCTTCTTATATATTTAAATCTTTGTCATTTATCCCCACAAGAATGTGTTCCATGCCTCTGTAATAGAGACTGACATACCATTTCCACCCAATACATATTTGTTGAATGAATGAATATATGTACAATGGGTATTACCATCCTAATTTTATACACGTAGAAAGAGACATTTCAGGAATTTGGGGTGCTCATCTATGTAAGTAGCAGTATCATTTACCCAGGTTTCCAGTTCTTTCAATGACATTATGATATCTTTCAAATTGAGGTATTGTCCGACTCCATTATCTATGTTTATGGCTGAAGAATGGATGAAAAAAGTCGCTAGGATCATAATGATAAGGTGTAGATGCAATAAGAAAGGAAATTATGCAATAAGAAAGGAAAATGTGAAACATTATGGATGACACCGACACTGGTCAGTATACAAGGCTGTGTAAAAGAGAAAGACAAGAAAGGGACGCCTACTACTACCGGTGTCACAATGATGTCTCTAAACCTGGAAAAAAGGC